TTGTCATTGAGGTGAGAAAATAGAAAGTTCCCCCTCAGATTTCTCGTATTTCCTTCGGTGAAATTCCTTAAAATTTGGCAGAGATGTTATACCCTTTTAGCTTTCCTTGCTGTGAATTTATCAGAAAAATTTGTAAGACAAGTTTTTCGCTCAGCCAAAAAACAACAAAAATGTTAAAAGCGAAAAAACTACCTTGACAACCCCTAGTTTTTTTCAATTGTAAAAGTTTCGTCTTGTCAGACTCTACCCGGTCGGAGAATAATACAAAATTTTACCGAAGGAAATTGACGAAAATTGAAATCAAAGTCAAACAGACTTCAAAAAATGGCGATATTTGAGTAGTTTTAATTTGGGACTAAAAGCCTTGACTACAGAGGTGACTGTTGTAAAGCAAATTTAGGCCCTTGTTTTTTATGCTTCAGTAGCTTTGATTTGAAAAATAGCAAAAACGAGAATATTAACTTTCGATTGATGTCACTGGCGCACGCTTCGTGATCTTGCATAACCCTATTGAGCCACCTTAAACACTTTGCTATTTTGCCTACCTGTGTTTGCTTTGTTCCTATTGGGAAATGAACATGTATGCAGGACTTTCCCTATGTTTATGATTAAATTCATATTTTCTTCTATTATTTACTCTTCTCATGTGAATGTCTGGGCTTTAAAGTCTCATGGGATCCCTGTAGCAGTGGTGACGAAATAGAATTAGAAAAGTAAAGGAGACTTACCTGTAAGTTCAAGTTTGATTGGAACTCTATGAGTCACCTACTGCGACAATGGATCACATACCCACCCTGGGCTATATTACCCCTCCCTACAGGGTGTTACTTTATCCACACCCTGCTACGTTACACATCCACTCACAACAATGGAGACAATTTGGTTTCCTCATTATATGACATTCACATTCGTGCTTTCAAAACTGATGTGCGCATGCGTGTTGTAATCTCATGTGATCCCTTGTCGCAGTAGGTGACTCAGAATTCCAATCAAACTTCAACTTACAGGTAAGTCTCGTTTAATTTTCTAAATTTCCAGTGCCTTCTTTCTTTAGTATAGTAATTAAATCAGTACGTGTGACATTTAACAGCATTTAAAAACAATGTTTTTGCTAAAACCCAAGGCGTTTTTCATTTGATTTGAAAGAAAAATTAAGCGAAACCATGAAGTCAAACTTGCAAGGCATCATGGGTAAGTTCCAAGGTAGCGTAGTGTCTCAAAGTTCTTTCGTTCTTAACCTTGCCGTTTTATTACGCTTTAAAAAAGACCTAGTTAATAAACAAAGAACACAAAAATAGAGACTTCAAGACGGAATCTTCAGTGCTCGTCAGCGAGGACACTTGTAAACAAAGAGGTGGTGGTCGATTATTACCAAGATTCCAACGAAACTTGATTGCTATGAACAGACAAAACGAGACGGCTTTGTTGTGAAATTTGTATTTTTCACAGCTCGAATCATGGAAATTGTTAATATTTATTATTAGAAATCATAGGCTATTGTTTGATCTGGTGGAGAGTGCTAGGGAGGAAAAAATTTCACCAGTGAGCCATGAAATGAAATAGCCTTTAAAACAATAATGCAAATATTGGAGAAATTTTCTCAAACAACGGAAAACGCAGAGATTCATGGGTGTAATGTGGGAAGTAGAGAGCAAAGGCCTCGTCGGTAAGAGCCTAGCGCGAGCAGAACTTAAATGAAGAAACATGCACTTTTGTGATAAGAGAACTAGATTTAAGAAAGGATCAAAAACGTGCAGTACTTTTACTGAATGCGTCGACTTGCGCACCCATAACACGATTAGAAAGGTTTCTATAGCTACGGATGATAGCAGAATTGTGTGGCTTTGCCTCTCGTGATTTGCCAGATGCTGATGCTTGGTACCGCAGTCAGAGGAGTCTGTTAATGAAAAAACAGCACGGAGAGGACGTCTAACTCATGAGACATCGCTACTACATTTTGTAAGGCGTTGTAACACACGCTATCGTATCAATGGCAGCGCCCGTTGGAAATATGAAGCGAATCCTATGTTCAGATTGGCTACCCGAGCGGTCAAGATGGGCCCATGATGGCCTCGCTTTGCCGCGCAAGAACAGAATTGTTAAGTTCGTCATTTTGGGGCAACGTCGGCGATGTAGTTGCAAAAAGTGGCGGAAGACAGTCAAATCAAAGAAAACATAAACGACCCTATATATTGTCCTGCAACAGTTGGCTTTTTTTCCCACCGGGCTCTCAAAATAAACAAGTAATTTTTGATTCTTGTTAGGCGAAATATTTGTGCTATTTAAGAAATCCTTTATTAACCAACTTGTGCGGTCAAGATTTTTTGTGTTATGTACCCCGACTTCGTTTAGCTCCACAAAAACGCAAAAAAAAACTCTAGCCATCTTGACTTTCCGCTTGGTCGATAACATATTTTTTGATGGGGTCATGGTTTTCTACTAAAGTAGGCTTAAACTGCAAAACGAAAACCTCTGCCAAAGCGCTTAGTCAGGCAGCAAAACATATGATATCGTTCGTTATGCTTTGTTGTATAAACGTCCACAACGCGTTCTTATAGGGTTCCTTAAAACGAACATCTATCTACATGATGTATTTGGGCGCCGGGCAAGGCATTCAGGTGAAGATATTTGCTCTGTGGTTAAACCCAACTTTTTCTACAAAACGAAGACCCAGTCGATAAAGTTATTTCAATGTTACTCAAAGCGTAGAGAGCGACATCGTGTATTTCGTGGCCTGGAAAAGCGTTTACGCGAACGTCTCCGTTTTGTGGTTTGATCCCAGCTTTTTCTGCAGACAAAGACAATAACGTGTATTTCAACATTTCACCAAGTGTGTAGCACGCGATAATTTCGTTGTGGGTGTTATATCATCGTTCTCCGGTTGGTGTTCGGTCTTCACCTCATAGATACTCTCTGTGCCACTACTATCGCTATCGAGATTATAACCCACCAGACAAAGTAAACAAGCGCTCATACTTGAAAGGTGAATCTGCCCCGGATAAAACCAATTATTTCACTTGATATCGAATCGCAAGGCTATGACAAACTGCTTGGGTTTATTCAATCAAGTATATCAGAAAATACTAGGCTAGTTAAGATGGTTGATCTATGAGAAAACATAACTTACGACACTCGATCGCACATGCAGTTATCAGTGGCAGATACTTTATGATTCCCATCGGCAAAAAACATTTTCTGAGGAAATTTGGAAACAGATTTCGGTCACCCTCTGCAATTTGAAGATCTCCTTGATAATAATCAGGTTTTTTATTTTAACCTAAAAGGCTCAACTGGCCACTGAGGGAATTGCAGTCGTGTCGCCTGGGAGTCGTTTCGCTAAAGTTTTAGGTGGTTTCGCTAATGTTTTAGGTCAGCTGACTAACTTATCAAAGGTTCTTTCGCTAACTTCAAAGCAATTTCCTCTTTCTAGTTTTATTTTCTTTGAAATAGCGACTATTGAATTGTGGTAACCTAAGCATATGTGTAATCAGCGAGCCAGTCATTCAGCAGCCAGTCAGGAAAGCGCCGAACCAGTCAGTCAGCCAGTCAAGTGCCAGTGAGTCAGTCAACCAATCCGTCATTTAGTCAATCATCAGTCAGTTAGCCAGTCTGCAGTCCAGTCATTCACCACTCGGTAAACACGCCTGTTAGCCAGTGAGTTAACCTGTCAATCAATCATCCAGTCAACCACTGAGTCAGTGAAGGGGATTTGGTCAGTTAGATGGTGAAGTACCAGTGAGTCAGTCAATCAATCAGACAGTGAGACACTAGTCAGCCAGGAACAAGTGTGTCACCAAGCCAATCACTCACCGAGTCAAGCACTCGGTCAAGCAGGCAGTCAGCGAGTTAAGTACAAGTAAATAAGTCAACCACTAAGTGAGTCGGTCAGTCACCAGTCAAATAGCCACTTAGTCAACCAATCAGACAGTGAGACACTAGTCAGCCAGTAACAAGTCTATGTATATGTGCACGATCCTTCGCAGTAAAGCACTATTTAAGCAATAGTGAAAATCAGACCTGAAAAAAATTCAGGCCTGTACGGGATTCGAACCACTGACCTCTGCGATACTAGTGCAGCGCTCTACCAATTGAGCTAACAAGCCAACTGGGAGCAGGCCATCAAATTAATTCGACATAAACCCGTAGATGATAAATCAAACAACAAACATATGAAATACATATATATGAACTGCGGTTATGAAACGTATATGTGCACGATCCTTCGCAGTAAAGCACTATTTAAGCAATAAATCATCTACGGGTTTATGTCGAATTAATTTGATGGCCTGCTCCCAGTTGGCTTGTTAGCTCAATTGGTAGAGCGCTGCACTAGTATCGCAGAGGTCAGTGGTTCGAATCCCGTACAGGCCTGAATTTTTTTCAGG